GCATTCCAAGACAAACACTTGCTACCCACAGTTAAATTTGGTGGTGGTTCCATCATGCTGTGGGGCTGTGTGGCCAGTGCAGGTATTGGCAATCTTGTTAAAGTTGAAGGTCGCATGGATTCCAGTCAGTATCAGCAAATTCTTGGGAACAATGTTCAAGAATCAGTGACAAAGTTGAAGTTGCGCCGGGGCTGGATACTTCAACAAGACAACGACCCTAAACACCGCTCAAATTCTACCAAAGCATTCATGCAGAGGAACAAGTACAACGTTCTGGAATGGCCATCTCAGTCCCCAGACCTGAATATCATTAAAAATCTGTGGTCTGTGTTAAAGCGGGCTGTTTCCATGCTCGGAAACCATCAAACCTGACTGAATGGAGAATGGTCAAAAATACCTTCAACCAGAATCCAGACCCTCATTGGAAGCTATAGGAAGCGTTTAGAGGCTGTTATTTCTGCAAAAGGAGGATCTACTAAATATTGATGTAATTTTTCTGTTGGGCTGCCCAAATTTATGCACCTGCCTACTTTTGTTTAAGTAATTATTGCACACTTTCTGTAAATCCTATAAACTTCATTTAACTTCTTAAATATCACTGTGTTTGTTTGCTATATGATATATTTAATTGAAATTGCTGATACATAAAGAAAAATCTTGAAAATGATCAGGGGTGCCCAAACTTTTTCATACCACTGTATGTGTGGCAAAATGCCTTAGATATACTTTCTCGTGAGCACAAGATACGTTTCTTTTTTTTTTTTCTTTTCCCCATGTCCCTTTAGGGGCTCTGTAGTATTCTTTTAAAACATAACTAAAAAAGCACAAAAAAACTTTCAATGTCACTCATTTAAAACATAAACATGACTAAAACTAATTCCAGAAAAAAACTGTCTCTAGGATCACAAGAAATTTGTGATGTCAAACTGGGGTCACAAGCCAGAAAGGGTGGGAAGCACTGATTTAATACCACCTGCTGGGTCAACTGTTGACAGACAACTGAGCAACGCAGCTGTCGTGTTCTTTCTGCGAAACAATAAAAATGTATTACTTTACATTTTTGTCATTTTGTGGTTTATTTTAACTCCCTTAAATAAATGTACTAAATAAAGATTTTTGTACAGCAGAACATCTGTTATGCACCTGGACTAATATGTGTCAATGACTGGTAATGGGAGCAGTAGCACACTGTTATTAACAGCTTGGGTTCAAGAGTCAAAACGGTTGTATTGGATTGATGAAGTGTTGAAATGTACAGCAAATAACGCTCATGTTAGCAACCATTCTCCAGATGCTCTGCACCACTGACTGTTGAATGATTTAGGCTCAGATAACTGCAATACACACTGGCCTGACTCAGGTTAAGCTAAACACCTAAAACTAGGTCAAGGGTTGAGCGGCTTCCATTGTTTCATGAAACAACTCCAGACAGGAAATGAAGCCATGATAACAATGTACCTGGAGTTTTACTAGTCACCTACAAGAGAAGAAGACGAAGTAGGTGTGACTGGCTGGGTGTGAAATTTGATGGATCTTACCCTTAGTATAAATATTGACTCTATTTACCTCCCTCCATTTCTAAGGATTTGGATATTGTAAGTATAATTTCAATTCATATTCCAAACTGTAAAGTCCTGCTGTGCCTAATGTGCTTTGTAAATTTGGACTATACAAATAAAATTTACTTGACTTATGGTAAATAAGAATACCACTGTAGTCATGGATATATAGGAGTTTCAAACCCATGTGTGGTTGCCTGGAATTCAAATGGGATTGTCTAAAATGTCTGCTAATTTAAAAAAAAAAGGTACTGGAATTTTTTTTTTCACAAATCATTTTTTAATAATTAGGATTAATAACAATCTTAAATAATTGTACTCTTCTTTCTATATTCTTTCACTTTCATTCAAACATGATCAAAAACTAATTCTAGAAAAAAAGAAAATCTGTCTGTGGTTGCAAAATGTTTGATGTCAAAATGGGGTCACACTCCAAATAAGGTTGGGAACCACTGGTTTACCATCTGCAAATCTCATCTTCCACTGATGTATTACTCAGTTTTATCTGTGGGTGTCAGTAAGGATGAACTGTGCTTTCTTCTGCTGCAACGTTATACGTTCTTGCTTGCACAGCCTTGGTTGAATACTCCTTTCATCTTGTCCCAGAATATGAGTATTAATGAATGAGGAAAAGTTGGCATGTCATGCAGTACAGGAACATGCACACGCACGCATACTTATGCACACGCGCGTGCGCGCACACACACACAGAAAGTATTCAGACCCCCTTAAATTTTTCACTCCGTTATATTGCAGCCACTTGCTAAAATCATTCTAAAAATCATCAAGTTCATTTTTTCCTCATTAATGTACACAGCACCCCATATTGACAGAAAAACAGAATTGTTGACATTTTTGCAGATGTATTAAAAAAGAAAAACTGAAATATCACATGGTCATAAGTATTCAGACCCTTTGCTCAATATTTAGTAGAAGCACCCTTCTGAGCTTATACAGCAATGAGTCTTTCTGGGAATGATGCAAGTTTTTCACACCTGGATTTGGGGATCCTCTGCCATCCCTCCTTGCAGATCCTCTCCAGTTCTGTCAGGTTAGATGGTGAATGTTGGTGGACAGCCATTTTCAGGTCTCTATAGAGATGCTCAAATGGGTTTAAGTCAGGGCTCTGGCTGGGCCATTAAAGAACAGTCACGGAGTTGTTGTGAAGCCACAGCCTTCGTTATTTTTGCTGTGTGCTTAGGTTCATTGTCTTGTTGGAAGTTGAACCTTTGGCCCAGTCTGAGGTCCTGAGCACTCTGGAGAAGGTTTTCGTTCAGGATATCCCTGTTTTTGGCCGCATTCATCTTTCCTTCGATTGCAACCAGTCATCCTGTCCCTGCAGCTGATGCTGCCACCACCATGTTTCACCGTTGGGATTGTATTGGGCAGGTGATGAGCAGTGCCTGGTTTTCTCCACACATATCACTTAGAATGAAGGTCAAAAAGTTCTATCTTGGTCTCATCAGACAGCAAACTCTATGCGGGCTTTCATGTGTCTTGCACTGAGGAGAGGCTTCCGTTGGGCCACTCTGCCATAAAGCCCCGACTGGTGGAGGGCTGCAGTGATAGTTGACTTTTTTTGACAACTTGAGTTGTGGAACTTTCTCTCATCTCCTGACTGCATCTCTGGAGCTCAGCCACTGTGATCTTTGGGTTCTTCTTTACCTTTCTCACCAAGGCTCTTCTCCCCCAATTGCTCAGTTTGGCCAGATGGCCAGCTCTAGGAAGGGTTCTGGTCATCCCAAATGTCTTCCATTTAAGGATTATGGAGGCCACTGTGCTCTTAGGAACCTTAAGTGCAGCAGACAATTTTTTGGAACCTTGGCCAGATCTGTGCCTTGCCACAATTCTGTCTCTGAGCTCTTCAGGCAGTTCCGTTGACCTCATGATTCTCATTTGCTCTGACATGCATTGTGAGCTGTAAGGTCTTATATAGACAGCTGTGTGGCTTTCCTAATCAAGTCCAATCAGTATAATCAAACACAGCTGGACTCCAAACCATCTCAAGGATGATCAGAAGAAATGGAGAGCACCTGAGTTAGTGTGTCACAGCAAAGGGTCTGAATACTTATGACCATGAGATTTTTCAGTTTTTCTTAAGGGGAAAACTGTCCGTACCCACTGTTTATATAGGTAAACAGTAACCTAAGTTCCTAAGAACTTCTTCACAATGTATTTCTTTATTTACACATGCACATGCGCTGTCAATCCACTGGATAGCGCCATTGTGCTGCTTTTTGTACAGATTTTAGAGACTTATTATAAATTGGTGATCATTTAAGTGTTTACAGTTTTGTTTTATATTTACAATGAATGTTAGCCAGAAACTAGGTCAATCAAATTAGTGAAGCTACACATTTATTACTGTTTCAGCTACTATAGTTCACAGTTGATTTTATTTCACGTTGGCACTTTTTATTTACAAAGTAGTTTGATTCCTGTTTATTCTAAATACCTTTACGAGTGCACATTTAATTTAATATTTCTTAATTTATTTGAACTTTTACAGTAACAAATCTGTGAATTTATCTCAATTTGTTAATTTGTTTTGTTTTTTGTTTGTTAGGTGAGTCTGAATGTGAATGAAATGAAAATAGACTTGAGAATATGACAGGGAGGGAGGAATTATAAGAAAATGGGAAGGAATAATGGAAGGAACTAAAAAGAAACAGAAAACAGAGCAAGAGCCGTGAAAAACAAACAGATAAAGTAAAGAAGGAGAAATGTGAGGGCCACTGGAAGAGAAAGAATACAAAGACAAATGGAAGGAAAGGTACAATGGAAAAAGAAAGAAGAAACAAAGAAAGTGAGGGACAAGGAAGAAAAACTCACAGTGGAGAGTGGAGAGTGGTTTAAAAAAAAAGATCATACGTGTGCAAGTCAACCAAACTTGATAACTCACATAACACGAAGTACAGGCAGCAGCGTCAGTAGCAGTAGAAGGTGTGGCAGGCTTCTCCTCATCATGACCGATATATTAGGTCAGAAATATGCAGTCTGTTCTAAAGAATTCTGTTACCAGCTAAAGGCAAGGACATAAATTCAACCATCAACCTACTTCAACAACAACAGCAGGGAGGTATTTGGATTGGAGACCTGTTTTCTCTGATTCAAGTGAACTTCCTTCACTACCTTCAGCATTACAGTTCTGAGATCAGCGGTTAGATAGGGAATGTTCAGGCTGAAGATGATTAGGGTTAAAAATACTACTATTATCATTACTGTTGATGTCAGGCTAACGGAGGCCACAGGCCACGATCAGTGTTTAGAGTGTGTGTTGGTTTGAAGCAGCCTGGAGGTGAAATAGGTGGAGTAACACAGGAAAGATGCAGTCACTGACTGTCTGAGCAAAATTTTTTATTACCTCAGACTAAATCATTACTGTTTTTTTTTTTTTTTGCAAAGAATTCGTAAATATATTTTGGTTTAAATGACATGGACTAGTATTACCTGGTCAAATAAATGTTAAATAAATAAATAAACACCCATATTTTCACACAAATACATATGGATATATATATATATATATATGTACATATATATACCTTAACCCTATTTTTTTCTGTACACTATTTATTTAATTTTATCTGTTTTCACAGGGTTTAGGGGTTTATTTATGCAATGTTTTTTCAGAGTAATGACGTTTAATAATCGTGATTTTAATATAATCATTATGAAATTTATATAATTAAAAATAGTCATATATTTTCCCATAAGTGTGCCCTATTGGTTACTTGCGCATATGAATGCTACTTTTACAGTGGTCCCTTGCTTATCGCGGTAGATAGGTTCCAAGGCCTGCCGCAAGAAAGAATTTCGCGAAGTAGTAGTAAGTAAAATTATGACGAGGAAGGTGATGATGACTTTTCCTATGCAGCCGATGATTCATTTTACGTCTCTTAAGAGGGTGGTGCCATTTCTTGGGGCACCTCTTCCACGGTTTCTGAAGTTGGATCCATAGATGTAGCAGGAACTGGTTCTTTTTTGTGAGGCTGCAAAAACGTTGTGATCGGCAGTTGCTTCCGCTGCTTCTTTTTCCAGTCGAAGAGTAGCTTGTAGGCAGTCATGACGTCGTCGATTTTGTTGCAAAACTGGACCAATCGAACCATATCGTCATTCCATTCCTGTGAGATCTCTTGCAGATCCAAACTCGGGATACAGTATATTTTATATATACAGTTTTCAAAAACCCGTGAAGTCGTGAATCCGCGAAAGATGAACCGCGAAATAGCAAGGGACTACTGTATTATCAGCACAAAAACAACAACAATTATAATACTGTTAATGTCTATTGCACATCCATTTACCTAAGTACATTTTGCTACGGATACACTTCTTAGATTTGAATGAGTGTAGAAGGGTACAGGACAGAGATGATAACCATTGTATAATGCGTAGTGGGAAACAACCCTGACATTTCCACAACTTTCAAAGCAATCAAATCACTGGTTCAATTCCTTGTGATAACTGATGGTCTGTTTAGTTTATGGTCCTTGAAGACTGCATGTTCTCCCTGGGTGACTGTGGGCATTTCTGGGTACTTAGGTTTCATCCCAAATAGAAACCTACTCCACACAGTGAGAGGATGCAGACTTCTCTGTATAGTCAGAACAGACTGGAGAACAGTATACGGTGATGACCTTTGGTATTATGTGACCAAAAAAACAACGCATCATCAGCCCAGTAAAGCAAGGACAGGAAACAAAGTCAAGTGGTTACTCTACATTTCTGTAGGCAGCAGGGACTGACCTATGTGACAGGTGCCGCTGGATGTGCTGTTGGAGCAGGGACAAGGTAAACAGGCATCCGTTGGTGCGGCTCCAGGGCGGCGGTAGAAGGCAGGCTTACACTCCTCACAGTTAGATCCCTGTGTGTTTCCCTCACAGTTCAAACACACTCCTGAAGGATGAAGAGCAAAAGATGAAATCACATGATCATGGTCTATCCCTTTATCTGCTGCCTTCTGATATGATAATTCCAACTGTGAGTTAAAAAATAAACAAATTCAGGAAAGAATTAATTTTTAATAATTCTTGCACTGCTGTCTAAATAATCACAGAAATTGGACTGGGTTAGCGTCATGTGCCTTTCTCCCCTAATGACAGGCAGTGCAGTGGGAACAAAGATTGATTCACACACGTAAAATAAAATGACTTGGGAATCAAACCGAACCAAATCTGAAAGAGGGAAATAAGCTAAAAACTAGATATTTATCCCTGAATGAAGTCTATAATAACTGCTACCATAACACCCTATATAGTACCTAATGATCATGTGACCTCCTCTCCCTCAAGGTTGGACAGTTGACAAAAAAGACACCAACATATTTGAAATGTGGTCCAAAAACCAAAATACTACTTTAGTAACCCCTCCTCTTGCGGCATCTGAAATCTCCCAGCTGAAAGAATGTTTCTGTCTTCTGTTTACTAACTAACATCTCCATGTCATGTTTACCTGTCCTCCTTAATGTTTGGGCTACTTTATAATGTCTATTTGCCTAATGTGTTGTGTAAGCAGTGCTGTGGCGAGATACCAGCACCAGCCTCTAACCAGGGAGCTGTCAAACCTGTACCATGCTAATCTCTGAACACTGTCTCTGGCCAGTTAACAACACTTCCTCCATCTGACCCACCTCTGAGTATGGCATAATATATGGCTCCTTACACAACTCCCCTCACTCGACCACCGACTCTCCTGCTCAGGCCTCATGCTTCAGGTCTGTAAGTCTTTAAGCCTGCCCTAAGGAGGGTAGCAGCAACTCTGTGCCATAGATGTGATCAAGGACACACCGGGGGAGGTGAGACCCATCTTAACTCATACAGAGAACAACAGAAAACCACAACAACATTTTTGGATGTTGACCTGTGAGTTGATTGGTTGGCTCTTTAAAACTCACTTTAAAAACAGACTTGAGTTTACACTATGAATATTGACAGTAAACAGAATGAAATGGCTCCTTAATGATCCCAAAATACATTAACACCACTCGTAATAGTGTTCAACTTTCCAGCAGTGTATTGTGTCTTTGTTTCATTACCACACAGAACAATAATACCGTGATCATTTTTATTACTAACACCGGAGAGCTAACTAGAGGTAAAAATCTCCACCAACCTTCAAACAGCTGTTCCTGAATACAATTCCTTCCTTCACAGTAGTAATATGTACAGATTATAATAATAGATTTGTAAAATCAAGTTATTTCACTGATACAACTGCATTTCTTGCTTACTGTTGGCTAACTTGCTAACAGTGGACAGCTCAGCTGATAAAAAGCATAACATGAACAAGAGGAAGGAAGCAAATAAAATGATTTCCTTATCTACTACCCCCCACCCGACTCGTGTGTGTACTCCATCATAATGGCACTGTTCAAATTACATGAACTTATTCAACTGTAGCTGCAAGCTCACCGGACTGTGGGTGGCAGTAGCTGGTGTGGTTGTTACACTGGCAGGGTCGACAGCCAGTGGTGCTGAAGTGGAAGAATCCTGGGTGGCACTCGTCACACTTAGGGCCATACACACCCGTCTTGCACACACATATTCCGGAGCTGCAAAGAGAAGGCAGAAAAGGGAGGTACAGTGATCCCTTGCTATAACGTGGTTTCCTTTTCACGGTTTCGCTACTTCACGGATTTGCATCGTGCATTGTGTTCTGCATTCTGATTGGCTAAAAAGTCACTCCGCTTCTTCTCTACCTGTGCGCCAATAACGTTGCGGTTTAATATGTACACGTACGTAAAACAGCTTGCCAGATTGACATTACGTACGTGCAAATTATCTTGCAATTTCGAGTTTATCAAACCCCATAATGTCGACAAAACGCTCTGGACCGGCAAAAGTACCTGCGGTAGGGACCAAAAGGCAGCGGAAGATGCTGTCTATCGGTGATAAAGTAAAACTATTGGACATGCTAAATGAAGGTAAAAGCTATGCGGCTGTAGGTCGGCATTATGGATTTAATGAATTTTCCGTTCGTTCCATAAAGAAGGAAGAAAAAAACATAAGGAAGACAGCAGCAATAAGTTTTAATAAGGATTCAAAAAGGGTTGCAACTGCCCGCAACAAGACCAGGTAATTTGTATTTTTTTCATAATCATTTTTAATTTTCTCCCGTTCACGGTGGACGGTGCTAATCTCCGCAATTTGAAGCCTTCTGTTCACGTTGATGATTACAATTATTATTTGACAGTACATTACAGAAGTTATTTGTTGAAACGTTTCTAAAGTACTTTTATTTTACTTTATTTGTGAAACAAATGGTTGAGACTGTAAAATGGTTTGTTCGTTCTTTCTCTTCTTTTTCTGAGTATTTAATTATAAAAAAAAAACAAGGGTTTACTGTATTTCAACAATATATAGGCAAATCTGGTTTAGTCTTAGAGATTTCAAAGATTCCCATGCAAATGAATAAGAAAAATTAAGATAAACCTTGGATGTGGCTAAGAATGCCCTGGATATTATTTATTGTGAGTAACTCTTGTGTACCTCACTGATTTTTCACTTGGAATTACTAGCAATCCAGTAAGAAACTACTTACGACTAAAGAAGAAACTACTAAAAAGCAAACTTTAAAAAAAAAAAAAAGTAAACTTGAGCTGATGTTAACAGAGCCCCTAAAGGGACATAGAAAAAAAAAGAAACGTATCTTGTGCGCACTAGATACTTTCTCATGCTCACGAGAAACCTTAGGTTAAGCACAGGAAGTTGTGTTTCCTGTGCTTAGGCTATGCACCTAGGCTCATTCTTTCAATCATGACGTATAACCCATTATTATTATTAGATATTTCGTGATAAGTTTCACGTTATTTAGTAATAAGTTTCACGTAATTACGTGATAACTTTCACGTTACAGTGATCCCTCTCTTTATCACGGTTCTACTTTCGCTTCCTCAGTACATCGCGGATTATTTTAATCCAATCTCGTGATATTAAAATTATTTTAATTTCCATTATTTTTTTCAGTATTTTTAAGATAATAATATTCTAGCCTAAAAGGGAAAAACTGTATTTAAATAAACGATAAGACGTTTTGCCACACACATACATACAGGCTAATACATTAAAAAAAACAATCATGTACAGTACATACGATTGGAAAATCTATGCATGCCATGTGTGACATATGTACCGCATATATGGTGAGCATTTAATTAATGTAGGGTACCTTAGTTAGACACAGGATGACACTGTTGTTGTTGTTGTTTGACTGTTGATAACAGTGTAGGGAGGTTCGTGAAGGGTAAATACGTATATACGTAAATCATTAATAAATATCTCGACTCTACTTCGCGTATTTTCCGATTTCTTGGGTCATGAAAAGCAACGACTGCGATAGGCGAGGGACCAGTGTATTTCGTGATAACTTTCACGTAATAACGTGATGTCTGTAAAGCACACTGTTTGCTTTTGTGCATGAAATGCGCTCTATAAATAAAATATCTTAAAATTAATGAAAGTCCACCTGCGAGCCAAGAATATGACTCGTTTACACGATTCAGTTGAATTGTACTTTATGCTTGGCTTGAGGCATGGTGAGATTTTACAAATATTGAGCTCAGTGGATGAGAATTTTATTAGTATGCGTACTCTCAGAAGGATGAGGATGAAGGATGAGGATGATTTACGTATATACGTATTTACCCTTCACGAACTCTCAGTTCAGAAATCAAACATTGTTCTCTTTCTAGAATTCAAGTTTGAACAGAACATTCTTGAACTTTAAAGATATTCACGGGTGAGTTACTGGTGGACTAATATAAATGATAGCCCCGAACAACGACAAACCGAATTCAAAACTGACACAAACTAAGAATGAGAAGGGGCAGACACCAAAGTAGCCAAAGAAATCCTAAAACACTTAACAGTGAGCATAAACTCGTAATGGAAACAAACTCGGATGCTGAAGATGGCGGAGGGACAATGCACATATTAAAAAAGATATGAAAAACGACCTAGTGGATTTCAAAGAAGAACTCAACACTAACCTCAGACAGATGTTTTGCAAATTTCTAGGATCATGTTAACAAGAAACTACAAGCAATCAGTGACGAACTACAAGAACATAAGAAAAACTTTGACGATGCTCGGGCACGTATTGAAGAGCTTGAGACGTTTACCAAGGAAGGTAAGGAAGCCCTGTTGACAAAGCTTAGAGAACATAGGAAATTACAAGAAAAGGTAACCGACTTGGAGGGCAGGTCCCGTAAAAATAATGTGAGGATATTCGGGGTCCCGGAGGGCACGGAAGGGGAATCAGTCCCCCGCTTTATTGAGGAACTACTACAGAGGGAACTAACGTTACCTGAGGGGACCAGCCTATTGATTAGTGATGGGAAGACCGACTCTTTTTATTGATTCGAATCTTTGACTCTCGAACAGTAAAATGAACGGGTCGTGAACGAATCTTGAACTAATCATTTCATTCGTTTTACAGCAGGTGGCGCTTTAGCCCTATTGTGGGCGTTGTAAAGAAGGCTGCGGTTCTCCGACACTAAATACTGAAGGCAACATGGTTTG